ATGGCCAATTTTCTAAACAAACCCAAGCTCGAAATGTACAAAATGATGACACAGGATTTTATAACACAGTGTCAATATAACAAGAAGTACAGCAAAATGCCTGTGGCTCATATCTCCCCCAATACCTCTTTTGTGCAATAATCACTTGCTTGCATGCTTCATCACAGAACAAGCCTTTGCTATTTTGTTAATACAAACCTGAGGAATAATGTTCTGTTGGTATTCATCCTAAGAAAGAAAAAAAGAAAACATATTAACTTAACTTTGTAAGATTGCACATAAATACCAGTAGTAGTCCCATTTACAAAACTCTGATGAAAATCTGTACTTTTAATTTTATACAGGGGTTTGTTTTCAGCAGTGGGACAAGTAGATTTCACAGTTGGGTAAACCTTTTTGAACTGAACTTCTTTATAAGACTAACGTTCCTCTAGATAGTCAAACCAGGCAGACAAAGTGATCCAAACAGCCAGTAAATTTGCCCAGTGCTCAGTCCTAAATGAAACCCCTGCATGGATACAGGTCCAATCAAACCTCTTTATGCAAACACCAAAGGGGCAGATCTGAGTGTCCTTATTACAGAAGTGGCTGTATTATATAGGAAGAGATTATACATATTCTGGTTTCTCTAGGACTAAGTTAACTGTCTGTAGCATAAAGGTGTCGGTATTATGAACCACTATGTCAGTACGGAGAGGTTTGACTTCATCATCCACCAGCTTAAACCTGGACGTAAACACAATTGGGTTATTTCCTGGACGTAAACACAACCTTGCAGTTACATGCATGAAGCATTTGTGTGTTACCTTGTATAAAGGTGATGGTGGAATATCCAACATCAGGTACATGTATGGAGAATCACTTGTTTTCTCTGAACAGAGAAATAAAAAATGTTAAATGTATTTTTTCATGTGTGAACCATTATATTCCTAATGTTGTAACACTTGATAAAGATCTGTTGGAAAAAGAACCTTGTCTTTTACTTACAGAATAAACAAAGTTGGTAGCTCATCATATTGAGGTACATTTTTTCTGCACATGCTTACCAAAAGAACCATCATTATATAGTTTGTACGTTATTGAATATTAGTTTTTGGACATGGCCTCTGGCTTAATCAAAAAAAACACAAAAAAAACACTTTAAAAGAAAAGACATCACATTAATTCAGTAATATTTATTACAGAAATATAAAACATGAACCGTGTTTCTATCAAGTTATGGAAACACGAATGAAAGTTTGGCAGAAGGAGAAATGCTGTGGGAGCACGAGCTGACAGGTGAGTGTTTACAGAGCTTCTTAAAGTTCTCCCAAACTTTCAAGAGTGTTTCTATAACTTGATAGAAACACAGAAAACATGTTTTCTATTTCCTTTAAAAAATACTGCGATGAAAAAAAGAAAAACAACTTGTTTACTTTGATCATCAAATTCTCTTTGCTCATGCCATCATTACATCAACAGCTTGTGCTAGTTCTGTGTTTCTATCGAGCTATAGAAACACGGTTTTAAACCAGTCAGCACATATATTTGCTTTCAATTGGGTTATTTCCTAAACATAGATATCTCATCTGGAACTATTAAGTGTTAAATAATATAA